TCCATGAGTGCAACAGGGCACCAGGCACTACCATGAGGGTGTTAGCATGGCAGACACAACAAAAGAACCGCCCAAAGTATTCACAGAAACGCAAACTCCGAAGGTACTCTAATAAAAAAGATAGAGAAAAACAATGACTTGGTTAATGACGACAACGGCGAGAGCCACGTTATACTGCACTTTGCTGATCTTGTGCTGTGGCAAGTCCGGACGACCTCAGTCAACAACAAACACGCTATAAAGTATCCTTACTAAACTAGGACAAAAACTGCATGATTTAACTGCGACTGCGGAGCATTAGTTGTGCAAAAGCAGTCCACAATTTCCCTCACCGACCCACCGGTGATTGATTAAAGTCCGCATTTTATGGCCCAGCATAAAGGCGCTAGTGTCGTATTTTGTTGCAAACTAGACAACGCAGAACCTGAAAGTGCTCGTATTGACGACGACTTCAGAAAACTGCACTTATTAATTTGATCTAAAGTCAAAGGCATCAAAAACGAAGTGTTCGTAGGGTGCGAATCCCTTGAAAAAGTCATCAGTTAAGGGAATCCACAGTACTTAAAGGCTCCGTTTCAATATGTTTGCAGGCCTGACTGGTTAGTATTGTGTGGGTACACTTACTTGTTTCGACGTAGACGCCACACCCAAAGCAGTGGTTTTCTTGGCTCAACAGGATCCCTTTCCTCCTAAGAAATAAAAAATTCAAACGACTTCCATTCGGTAAGGGGCTGCAATTAGATAAGTGATAACGAACTTTTCTTTGGGTATAATCGGGCTGATAATGAGACGCTTGGACGTCAAACGCCCAACACCATAATCGTTTTCACTTCTCCACTCAGTAGAAGCGCTCCGAAAAAAGTTTTCAACACCAACTGGCAACTGACGCTGACCGGAATTCGTTGACGGAAGTAACCGGTAGGGAGAAGGTGAAACAGTGGTGGGAAGGAGTGGGTCAGATTTGACGCCGTGGGTTTGTCTAGACTTCGAAAAGTTGCGGTGATAAGCCCAGAACGTTTTGACATCCCAGTCTGCCGAAATTATAATGGACTAGAGCGACCACAATGGTGCGGTGACTTGGTGGGACCTTAAAGACGATTTGGTTTAAGCATACGACCATAATTTATGCTAACTAGACTTTCATTCTCAGAATATAGAATACGGAGAGATAAACTAGAGTTATTTGGATGCGGTTGTGAGAACCGCCAAATCGCAAGCCAAAATTTAATGTTGTTACCTCTGAGAAGACAGAGACGTCGTCATGTCGAAGTAACTGGAACTCAAATTAAGATGGTCCCCCGTTCGCCGATGATACTGACAGGTCACTTCTGATAGAGCCGCCACCCAATCGGTATCAGACATGGAAGCCAATCGAACGCGCAGCCTCTGTAAACGGAGTGGAGGAGTCGCGTTGTGATCAAAGAAATCTCGAGCCAATACCCGAACAAGACCTCCAGCAATAAGTGCAGTTTGGCAGGGGTCGGGACTCTCATTCTCAAAATCATCCTCTACGTCTCCGCGTTCACTGGTACCACAGCCATCACAAATACAATCGAGGGACTTGAACAGGCGTTGGCAGTTTATCTGAATAATAAGAAAGACTATATATTTGAGGACATAATCAGTTGCTGCGATCGCAAGAGCTGGAACTCGATTTAGAGTGAAAATTTGTTTAAATGGGATTCTCGGGGATGCAAACAGGTCGAAATTAATGGTTATAAAGGGACGAGATTAACTGACTGCATGAGGACAGCACCACGTTTTCAAAATCATTCACGACTACAACGAGACTTACACAAAACACCAAAACTAAATGTGACTTGCCAGTTCAGACCTCATTACTTTACCTAGCACCCATAACAGAGGTAGAAATTAGTTGGCTTGCCTCACGAAGACTGCCATCAGAACAAAGATCACCGCAAGAAGAGAATTGCCGGATGGGCCTGATGTCAGATATCAGAGGAAGGGAGGTTGGTCGGAAGGAGTTGAGGTTATGCGCCTCCACGAGTGACTTTTCATTACATTGCAATGGTATTGAGAGGCGGGATGAAAAAATAGAAGCTTCCAAGTCACAAATGACGTGCTCACAGGCGTGAAAAAGAGCCACTTCAGCTGTCAAATTCTCCCTAAAATCGTGGGTCTCCAAATCATTGCAACAAAGTGAATCTATTTTAAGGAAAAAACAAACATACACGACTAGGATCCCGGAGACGAAGCAATGTGATTAAATTTTTCAGCCTAGGAATTGCCCAAAACTCCCAACGAAACGATGCAATCAGTTTCTCACTTGGCCCCCGGTAAGTGACTTTTTGCACAACATACACGAACAAGATTCCCAGCACACACATGTAAATTATAGGCTCATATCACTCTGCTTGTAAAACAAAAGAAGTTGAGATGTGTGAGGCGATGAAAATAAGAACAGCGCCCCTGATAAAAGAGAAATATCACGGTACCACGAAAATCCACCTATACCGCACTGATTTTATTTAAGCCCCAATTAAATGAAATACGTAATGCCTTTTCGAATATCTGTTTAAACCTGAGGGGTATTTGTGAATAACCTCTAGAAATCAAACAGAACAAAGCTGAAAACAACCCTAGCGAAACAATTGGCATCAAGCTCCGATAAAATCATTCGACACTGAAAGTTCTTACCGCACAGCGGCCTGCCTGCACTAAAAAGCAATTATCTAGCAGTGTTATCGAAAACACCACAGGAAACCCGAAAAATTCTTTCTCCCTGCTACTCATGTAAACCCCTTGGCTTCACAAAGATGTTTTTCTGATAGTGAATGACAAAAAAACCAACAGTAATTAAGCGTAAACACAAGGAACATTGACAAACTTATCGGCATTTTTGAATCCACGGTGTAGGAAAAATTGCGGCAAAATTGTGGTGGGAAGAAGGAAAGAACTGTGTAACGTTCCAAAGCGGCCTCCTAAATTTACATCACTAAACAATTTGTCACAATTTACACGATCTGCAAGTAGGTGGCACGGATATATTCCTGGATGCAAATGGGAGTCATTACATGGGACGAAGTAATCATCGACAAAAAAGAAACTGAAACTTTGGTGCTAGTCACATGGTCGTAAATCAAAAGTTGCTTCTAGAGGACGATGTGGCCTGATGGTCAAGCTCATTAACCAAGAAAACAAGCACAGCCCTCACCAAGGCATATTCTGGATACAGATATCCGAAAAATGGAGATATCTGGGCGTTTTACGCGTTTCTTGGTTTAGGCAGATACTAGAAGTCGTAAGTGGACCACGTTTATACTTAATAACAGCATCTTCAAATGCTCATGCTTCACAACTATAAAAAGACAACTTATATAATCAAATATGTAGAAAATGAGGAAATCAGTTTTGACTTCAACTAATCAATCATCGCGGGACTGATCAATCCAGATTTCAAAAAATGAAATATATGAGTAGTTTTTTCGCTTACGTAAGGGTGTTTTGAAAAAGCAGGTCTTTTACTCTCCATTGAAAGCACTGTAAGCCGCTATAGCGATTAAACGAGCCTACTCGTGTGCGCTACACTTAAACCAACACCTGCTCAAAAAACAACCTACCCATGAAACTAAACCAGGTTAGGGGCAAACAACATTCGAATTAATGAGTATTCTGACAATTTCATAATTTTACATAAAATTCATAATCAGCCTTTAAAATTCAACATTTCCAACAGGGCTGCAATTATTGTGAACTTCCCGACCTAACTCTTGTGGGGGATCCAGGATTCCCCAAGATGGCCCACCGCCATTGTTTACATTGGTCCCCGAACCGCGCCACGTCAGCGGGTGAGTCACCCACGGCGCCCTACTGACAACCCCATCTTTGTTAACCATCTTTCACCCACCAGGTCACCGTTGATCTATATAACTGTTGACATCCTGACAGATCACCTGGCCTTTGGCGAAGACGATAAAAGCTGTCTGCACGAGGTCTTGTCTTACTTTAGCATGGGAAGGTCAGTTATAGAAATACTATGACAGATGAATAATAAGAATGCCAGAGCATCACTGACAGGACAACAACCCATCTGCTAAAAGGTGTTACTACGCGCCTGGTGAAACAACGCGATACAAATAATAAGGTAATCCAGAATAGTGACATAAAGGGTCTCAGAAAAAGGCCAAAAAGTGAAACAAAATTCCGTATTTTCAATGACTAAAGTACAGGCCATTATTTGAGGAAAAATAAGTGAGTGTTCTACTACGCCTCTAAGACATTAACAGGTCAAACTATCGGTAAATTATGTATATTCTAGTTGCTCGCAATTCTCTTATAAATCTCAATTTTTGAGGCAGTGTTGCGTGTTGTATGTGGAAACCAAGGCTGAAATACGCATAGGATAGAGTAGCGGATAATAGACCAGACATTCGGTTAAAACATTCGCAGACGTCTGGACGTAAGAGTTTACCAGGACTGCGGTACAATGAGCACCTCCTACTAAACCACGGCAGCATAACAAAACCTTCAGACCCATCTAAGCTTAAAAATTACTTAACCCAGGGTACAGACTAAAATCAATAGCAACTTCACTCCATTCTTAAATCGCATCTAATAGACTTTGTGGGAATGGAATGTACATTTCTTATAAACGGCCATTACGTCTAAGTGTACAATAAAAATCAAACCACGGTCACCCTTTAAAGTCTAATTAAAGTGAAGGACAGTTCTATTGAGCTACAATACATTTATAGGCGCCGAAGACATGAGCAGACATATTCTGCATAGCATGTGGTAAATATCTGTAAATCAAATTGCAGGTAATGGCTAATTGGAAACGAATCTAAACAACTTGGTATGAAATTCGGTGTAAGGACAAAAGATATGTTCAGTAATATCATAAATAAAAAGAGGTGCAAAGATATTTCCATCCACAAATTTCTATAAGAACCGATTTCGATGTCAAATATAAGTGTGGTAAATTTAGTCTGTCAACCCCGCCCAGACATACAATTTTTCTCGTTAAAGCTGTACGTCTCTACCTACAATCTACAACTGCGCATTTGGTAAACACACTTTACACATCATGCGGTCCCTGGTGATAAGGGCCAGTCATACATTGTGACCGAACATCACTTAGGTAACCAGGTAAGGACTGAAGGGATTCAAACATACTAGTAAAAACATTTAGTTTATGTTAATAAAACAAAATTCTTCTACTATTTCTTTCGCTCGAGCAGAAAATTGGCTTACAATACATAAACAAGAAGGGAAGGCCTTGCGGTACGAAGTGTAAAAAAAGAGTACTAACCTTCAGAAGATTTAAGTGAGGATAATGTCATTTCTTCTGTTACCTCTTGGCCAATAGGAACAAAATCAAATCTGCTTCGTTCCTTGACGAGTTCATTAGTCTGAAAAGTAAAATTGAGTGCTAGGGAGAAGCGTATTTATCAAATAAACATCTTCACGAAATTGATGGACAAGAGTGCATGTGAAGGGCAGTTCCTTTGATCTGATACAAAGGATTCAAATGGCTATCAACGTTCATGGATTGTGGATCCGCCAGAACCAGAAAGTCTGGCATACATACACTAGCGATTACTAGTTTAAAAACTGCATTTCCTGAACCTGATAGATCATTATCAGATTTTGCTTTTTTTCCTTGGGCAGTCGTAAGAGAGCAAGACACTCGTCAGGGTGATATTAGGCGTTCGAAAGTAAACATCACAACTATCAGTAACCTGGACCATAAACCTAGCCACCATCGAATAAGGATTATACACAAGTTATCTTTAAACTTAATTAAGGCTCTACAAAACTACAGAAAACCAAACAGGCTCAGTCAGATACACTAGACTTATTTCTTGAAAATAATGTGATAACAGGTGCCAAACGAATAGCAAATAATGTTTGTTGACTACTACCACGGAGAACTTAGAACTACTTTTTAATTGTTCTTTTGAACACAAATATGGTCTAATTAAATTGTTTTCAGGTAAAAGAGTCAATCGATTGCTTTTTGTTGGCACAGGCGACCACTTGTATTTGAGCTAGATAACGTCAAAATAAACTGCACCTGCAACAACACTAGCTTACAATAAAGCAAATTGGGCGAAAGGGAACGCAAGACTTGTCACAGAATGTTCTAGTAAACCCGGTGAACAACCGAACATAAATAGCTTATTCTTACCGACCAATCATAAGATTTACAAAGACTTATCAAAGAATTTAAGGAAGGGGAAGATCCTGCTGAGACAGAAATAAATAAAAACTTTTAATAGTGAGATTTATAAATTGCAACGACGGAAAAGGGCGCAGACATATTGAACACTGGCTTCAGCCAATCCTCTGTCTATCGGTGTTTTAATGGCATGCGAGAAAGTGATGTAGCCCAACAGAGAAAGACTCTAATGTGGAGCAGTATATATTGAATGGCGTGGCCATCATGGGGAAATGGGATGAAAGGCGCCCGACGTGTGGTTCTGGCTTGTGATTGGTCAATAAAGTCCGTTCTGTTGACAAGTTTTCTCCACACTCGGGCTCTGGTATTCTACATTGGTGGCGGCGGAAGAGTTCGAATAACGTGAATCGAACCCCAGCCCTTAATCTTCATTAGTCAACAGAGGCAAAGACAATTAAATGCCACCTGAAGTTGTCACGGCGGTCATTCGATGTCCCATACACTGGATCCATAGACAATGCCCGGGATTAGGATTACCGCATCTGAAGAGGCATTTGCAACTCAGCGACGACGACATGGACAGCAGAAGCCAGCTGAACTGCATGTGCGAAGGAACCTACGGTAGATGAAGAGTCCTTCCCGCAAGTCTGCAAGAGCCAAGTCCCTCATCAACTAATCGAATGGGCCACTATCCTGCCAGGTGTGGGGTGTCGAGGAGTATCAAACTGGATATTTTAACAATCATCAACACTGCGGGGAACCAATGCAGAAGCTGAGGATAACTTCAATCCTGAGAAGGGGGCCGTGAGGTGTAGCGGACTGACAAAAGGCAGCCATATTGGTGATGGTAGTCAGCACGGCGCGGAGGCAACCTCACGTGACCGGTGGGGCGACTTCCGGCTGCTTGGCGGCATGCGGGCATTGAATGACGCGCCGGGGACTGAAAGCCAATCCGCTCACGAGTTTTCCGTCTCCATTGTAGCGACGCGAAACGGACCAACGGGAGAACAGGAAGAACAGAACAAGGATATATAAAGCCCCTGTTTTCCCTGTACGGACCGACCAGTTTGTGACCAGACTATAGTGCTTTCTGTATCTAGTAAAGTTACCCGTTATCTCTCACTCCTGTTCTTACAATGGGCCCGAAACCTATAGAGATGTCGGATCAGGGCGCAGGT